TTACTCATAAGCTTAATTTGGACCCTTTAGTTAGGCCAATCAAGTAAAGGAAAAGAAACCTCTTCCTAGAGAGGTGGAGGATAGTAGATGAGGTAGTTGGGAAGCTCCTCACAACAGACTTTGTTAAAGAGGTCCAATACCCGGGTTGGGTAGCAAATCCTATGCTCGTGAAGAATGCAATGACAAGTGGCACATGTGTGTCGACTACACCGACCTCAACAAAGCCTGCCCAAATGACTGCTCCCCCTTCCTAGAATTGATCGCCTGGTAGATACAACTTTGGAGCACGAGTTACTAAGCTTCATGGAAGCCTATTCCGGCTACAATCAAATTCAAATGGGATTAGCCGACCAGGACAAGATTTCATTTGTAATTGAATTAGGGTTGCATTATTATAAAATCATGCCCTTTGGATTTAAAAACGCTTTACCTACCTTCCAGCAACTTGCAAACAAGATTTTTGATTGAGGTTTGAAGTCATTGCTGAAGCTCATGTTTTAATTGCCAATCAACAGGGTTGGGTTTCTAGATCTACTCCTTTTGTTAGTAATGATAGATCCTCCTTTCATGGAAGACCACCACAATAGAAGAAAGGGAAGGGAGTAGTAAGATCCCAATAGAAAAATATAAAATTAAATCTAAAGCAAAAAAATAGAAAAGTAAAAAATTAAACATATTAAAGTGATAACAGCTATAAAATCCCAATAGAAAGTAAATTATAGAACTTACAACGAATTCTGCTTGAGGAGCAACCTCCGTCGAGGGCTTGCTGACCTGATTGAGGTCCAAGTGGCAACTTGCAAGACATGCTCGCCAACGAATTCTGCTTGCATCCCATCACTCCCGAGTCTCTTGGAAGTCAACTCTCACACCGAATGTTTTGGAGCAAACCGAGTAAGGCACAAAGATTGGCCTATGTGCACAACTACCTCTAAGGACTTCGGAGCAGTTAGGCACGTCTTCTCGGAGATCCCGGACGCGTTACGTGAGGCCCACGCCAAACAATGCCTATATAAAGGCCTAACCTCCAACATCAGAAGGGACATGCGCAATTTAGTTCTCGTAGCTCTCTAGCTCTCTTACTTTCAGCTCTCTCACAAAATCTCTACATTCGCTGACTTAAGCATCGGAGTGCCCACCCCGGGTAAAGCAACCCGAGCACTCTAACAGTGCTTCCTTGCAGGTCGCATCATAGCCACCTCTCTAGCTTGTCACCATATAGCCAAGCATTAGAGCCACCTCTCCAGCTCGTCACCATTCAGCCAGGCATTAGAGCCACCTCTCCAGCTCTTCACCATTCAGCTTGGCATTAGAGTCACCTCTCCAACTCCTCACCATCTAGCTAGGCATCAGAGCCACCTACCCAGCTCATCACCATTCAGCTAGGCATCAGAGCTACCTCTCCAACTCGTCACCATCCAGCTAGGTGTCAGAGCCACCCCCAACTCTTCACCATATAGCCAGGCATCAGAGTCACCTCTCCAACTCGTCACTATTCAGTTAGGCATCAGAGCAACCTCTCCAGCTCATCACCATTCATCTAAGCATCAGAGCCACCTCTCCAACTCATCACCATACAGCCAGGCATTAGAGTCACCTCTCCAGCTAGGCATTAGAGCCACCTCTCTAGCTCGTCACCATTCAGCTAGGCATCAGAGCCACATCTACAATTCATCACCATCTAGCTAGGCATCAGAGCCACCTCCCAGCTCGTCACCATTCAGCTAGGCAACGAAGCCACCTTCCTGGAAGGAACCATTCAGCTAGGCGTCTAACCCACATTATAGGTAGGGATTATTTAGCTAGGCATTTGAGTCACCAGCCAGCCGGGAGCTGCCAAAATGCACATCATCAACTATCATGCACCTAAACAAATCATTGTATATACATACATACATATATATATATATATGCTTCCAGGGGCTACACAATGGGAGGTACCATATCCCCCAACCCTAGTGGCAATGGAATTTGATCCTAGGTCTTTGCTACAATGACTAGAGATCCTACCAACTAAGCCACCATCAAACCAAGTATCAAATAAATCAAATTAAATTTGCTTATTTTTTTTGGCACGATTTGTTTTTCATTTTGGTAACCATATTTGAGTACCCCTATCTTTCATTGCTTGTGGCATGACATTTGCTTTTTGAGATGGAAAATGAAACATCAAATATGCCATGACCCATGCCTTTGGTTGTAGTGTGTTTGTTGTCTCTATGTCATTAGTGAATAAAAGCCAATGGGGATGGTTGGTCATCAGTGTTATAGGCTGAACATTAGATTTTGGTCACTATGACCTGAATAAGATAATGTCGTAACACAAAAAAGGTTTCACTAAGAGGGGAGAAGAGAAGAAATCTGACTATTTGGTTGGGTTGGGTTTGAATCACTTCAGGACTAGGTGGAACCAATTCCAAAATGATAATAATCGAGACAATATACCCAGAACCAGAGTCAACTCATCGGTTCTGATTCCTAGAACCATAACCAACCTAATCAGTTAATGAACATTGGGTTCGTCAGGTCGAACCTGACCCATTGAATGCCCTATTTCTATGTAATATAAAATAACATATATATTATCTATAACATACATATAGTTAAATATATGTGGGTCAAGTTAAGCCCAAGGCGGGTTTAAAGTGTTAGGCCTATGCTCAACCCTAAAATTTGGGGCTCTAATGAGGGCCCGAGCCTCGACTAGGGCTTAAACACAAAATCTAGGTCCAAGAGTGAAATTTTCCAAGTCGCTTAAATGTTCACCCTTGTTTTATGACAAAAATAGCAGGGTAAGGTGCCTTCAATACTTTAAAAGACATAGTTAGAAAAAAAGTTACCCAAGGCCAATTCATTAGTTATTGGGTTAGACCAGTTTGGTGGATGGTTTTGGCTTTTTTCTTGGAGTAAATAGGGTTAGGTGTATGATCGAATTGGTTAAGGGTTGAGTCATGGTTTAACAATAAGCTGACAAGTTGGTCTCGTCCAACTTTTTAAACATTGGTTAGTGTCATATGTTTTATTATAAATAGAATAAATAATGTTGTTATAAAATATGTAGAATATGTATTGATTTATTTATATTTTATTTTAGTTTTTCATCTTTCACAAATAAAAAAGTTAAAAATTGCACTTTGAGGCAAAAAAATTGGTAAAGTGGTTGCAATAATTTATTAAATAAATTATTAGTTATTATTTAATTATTAATGTAATAATTAATAATTATTTATCTATACTGTATAACTATTACTTTATTAATAATTTATTTACAAATTTAAATAATTTAGTGTAATTGTCAATATTATTTTCATTTATAGGTAATTAATTAATTTACTATTAGTGGTTTTCATATTTACTTTATCATTTTATATTAATTATTAATTTACTTAAATAATTAAATTAATTTTTGATGATTAGTTTTAATTAATCAAATAATAATTAATACTTATTTATTTATATTTTAGAAATTATTTTCTTTTTATTAATGTACTTGTGAAATTATTAATAATTTATTTTCTAGTTTAATTATTATTAAATAGAAATCATTAATTATGATTGTTATGCAATAGTAATGAGCTAATAATTTGTTAATTATTTTCATTTACTTTAATAAATTCTTAATTATTGATTTACTATAAAAAAGTAATTAATAAATAATAAATATTTTAAATGAATATTATATGATTATTATTTATGAGCTAGGAATAAAACGATTCTAGCCAAAGATGATTAACTTCGTAATTATAGCCATGGAATTATAGTTATCCGTGGCGATAGTGATAAATAGCTCTTTAGCCAAGGACAGAATAACTTTTAACCACGCACGTGGCTAAAGATCAACTTTTGCTTTTATAACTTATAGCCACGCCGTGGTTATAAATATCTTTTAACCATGGGCAGAATAACTTTTAACCATGGACAAATTGTCCCTAGCTAGCTCAACTTCTACCTTTGTAACTTATACCCGCAGATACATTATAGCCGTGGTTATATATATCTTTTTGCCACGGACAGAATAACTTTTAATTACGAACAAATTGTCCGTAATTAAAGCTCATTTTCTGCTTTTGTAACTTATAGCCACAATACATTATAACCGTGGCTATAAATAATTTTTAGCCACAGATAAAATAATTTTTAACTATGGACAAATTGTTGTAGGTAAAGCTCACCTTTTAACCACGGACAATTTATCTGTAACTAAAGCTCATATTTTGCCTTTATAACTTATAGCCATGGATGCATTATAACCGTGGCTACAAATATCTTTTAGCCACGGACAAATTATCCGTAATTAAAGTTTAACTTTTTGACACGGACATCAAATTGTCGGTGGTTATATCCTGTGTTTTAGCTACAGTTTTTTGGACGTTAGCATTCTGAGTGTGTGTTTTGGAGAAAAAAAAGGATGGATGGAGAAGGGAATTTGGGACAATAACTCTTGCGAGCAAAATAGAGGATTCGAAAGAGATTATGATTCCATATACCAAGTCCCATATTTGTTCGGTGGAAAATGGCGATGGGGGCAGAGATGGATAGGGAAAACAGAAATTGTGACGGAGGCTACCTCAATATTGGGACCACATATCCATTATGAGGTCGCTGTGGACGATCGATGATAGGATTGCCTCAAGCCATCTAATATGGAACCTGCCCCAACAAGACACCCAACCACATATTTGACCAATAAAAAGCCGTGGAGTTAAAAAAAGAATTAGACAGTTTGAAGGTTCTTTATGTTATATATGAGACTAATATATGGTTGTAGTGTAGTTTCACGTGTTAGTGCGTCTTGATAGTGTTGTTTCTATTTTTTTATCAAAATAGAATAAAAAAAAAATAGATTCTAATAGTTGGATTCGGATATCTGTTAGTGCCCCATTTTCCTGTGTTCTGTCATCTGTGCTATAAATCAAAGCTTGAATTCAACGGCCCAAGTGARTCTTCACAAGCAAATAAGTGTCCCGGCCCCGTCCGGCACTTCCATTTACAAGTGCCAAATGAAGCCAGTAAAGGTCAAGCCCCATGCTGTTTGTGTTCCGTTGCCGGCTCAAGGCCACATAAACCCTATGCTCAAACTGGCAAAACTCCTCCATTTTAGAGGCTTCCATATCACCTTTGTCCACACGGAGTTCAACTATCAGCGCCTGGTGAGTTCGAGAGGCCCAGAATCTGTCAAAGGATTGAACGACTTCAGATTCGAGAGCATCCCTGACGGATTGCCACCGGACAACAAGCGAGGCATACTAGATCTTCCGGCACTATGTAGATCGATGCCAAGGAATTGTGTAGTTCCATTCCACAATCTAGTAAGGATGCTCAATAGCTCACCAGATATGCCTCCTGTCACCTGTATCATATCAGATGGGGTCATGAGCTTCACTTTACAGGTTGCTCAAGACTTGGGCATTCCTGAGTTAGTCTTCTTTACACCAAGCGCATGTGGTTTCTTGTGTTACTTATATTATGARCAGCTCATGGAAAGAGGCTACTTCCCACTGAAAGGTATATATACAGCATACTTTTTTTCTAGTCCTTGATCCTTTTCATTTCAATCATGGATATGAATTAAAAAAGTTTCACCTTTCACGGAGTTA